GTCCACGAGGTGGGAATGTGTCCCGAGGTTCCTGTGTTGGAAACCGTGCAGCGACTGGATGGGGTTAGGCGTGCTGCCGCAGCAGAGGGTTGCTGCAGGCCAGCCGGGCCCCACCCTCCCCACCCGTGTGCCCTTTGCCCTCCCCCCTCGGACAGGCAGCCAGGAGACCCTCGCCAGATGCAGGCCTTCCACCTGGCCTTCGGGCCTCCAGGACCACCGGAAGCAGATCTCCTTTCTTTCAACACGACCCAGCCTCCGCCGCTCTGCTGTAACAAAACAGGCCTGGGCGGCTCTTCCCGTAGCGTCCTTCCACCCCCAGCGAGATGACCTTCCCGAGCACTTCAGAGACAAGGTGGTGGGACGCCTGGATTCCCTCACTCTCCACCCTGCTGACCTCTGGGCCTCTCCGCCCCCTCCTGCCCTGCCCTGTTTGGATTCCACCCCAGCGTCCAGTCCCAGGGCTGAGCTCTGCTCTGTTGGTTTCAAGAGTCTGTCCCTCCTGTCACAGGGCCATTGACTTCCTCGCCGGGCTCTTCCCCCGCCTGCAGAGGGAGCTGCCAGACCCACTCCCACTGGTCACTCCTGTCCCCTGAGGGGACTGTCGTACTTTCCAGGGAGCACCTGCTGGAGCCCGGGGTCTCTGGGTTCTCAGGACCACCAGGGCTGCGACCCCCGCCATCCCCCACTGCAGCTGCAGCTGTCAGCCTCCCACCCGCTCGTCCGCTGTGGGCAGAGGACCCCTTGCCGCCCACAGGCCCTGTCACGGGGGTTTGGGGTTTGCTGTCCGGGAGCTCCGCCGCAGGGAAGTTTGGGCAATTAAGACAGCATCGTGGCCCCTTCCCCTCGGAGCTGCCCGCAGGCCACCTGCAAACGGTAGCAGAAACATTTTAAAAATTCAAGTGTCCACAACGGCCCCGAGGGCTTCAGTGGGACGAGCCGCCACAGAGAGCAGAGTGCGATGCATGTGGGCCTGGCCGTGGCCACCCTCTGAGGGGCTCATTTGCAGGGGGTGGGGGCTTCTGTGAGCCCGGAGGCAAGGTGAGGTGACAGAGGCTCTGTAGCCTGGCTTAGCTCCCTTGATGCTGGACCCTTGATGCAGGACCGGCCCTCTGTGTGGCGATCACCACCAGGCCCTCGGGGCCTCCCCTTCTCACCTCCAGCCTCAGGGCTTCTGCCCCTAATGGTCCTTGGGCGTGTCCCACTGTCTAGGGTCTTCAGAGCCAGCAGCAGCTCAAAGTCTCCGGCAGTCCCTGACCCCAGCCCGTGTCTCACACATCTTCAATGCCCCAGTGGGGGACCCCAGCAGAGCCCCTCCCTACCACAGCACCCCTCACTTTTCTCTCCCTGCCCCTTAAGACACCTTGGAGTTCCAATGGCCACTCTAGTGGACGATGCCCCCCACAGCCCTGAAGGCTGAGTCGGAGAGCATCTTTGTTCCAGGTGACCCCAGCTGCCAGGAGGGGTTCAGGTGGCACTGAGAATGGGGATGGGAGGTACCTGCTGCCTTTCCCTCTCATTCCTGCCTGCCCACCCCCACCCCCAGGGGCCCTTCAAAAGCACTGTCTGCCCCTGCTGGACCCTCCCCTGCCGTGCAATGCTCAGACAGGCAGGTTTGCACCCTGCAGCATTCCCAGGCCCTGGGGGGTCCCTGCCGCATGGCCAGACCTGCCGTTGCCCCTCCCCTTCCCGGCCCTCTCTCCTTAAGGTCACTGTCCTCCTCTCTGTGCCACACACCTGCCCCAGGCCACCCCCACCCCTTGGACCTCAGCTGAAATCCCGAGGCCCTGCCTGCGCAGCCCGTTGGAAGACGGCCCGGCGCCCGTGCTCAGGTCTGATCCACTCCCCACCGAGCTCGCCCTGCAGTGCAGAGTGCAGAGGTTTCAGCGTCCCGAGGCCGAGTGGCCACCAGCACGTATGTCCACTCTACAAGCTGTGCTCTCATGACTGCCCACGTGCCGCAAGGGTGCGTCCTTCCCTCCCAGGTTCAGTGGCTGCCCTGGTGTCACCTGTGGTCAGGGCCCTGGTGGCAGGACCCACTTTTCTTTGTCAGTCCTCTTCAAGAGGGTAGGGCCTAGCCGTGTGCTGCCCACTGTGTCCCCAGGGCAGGCCTGGTGCTGGGCACACGGGGCTGGTGAACAGATGTGAAGACCAGGTCTGAGCTGGGTGGTAGAGGCCACTGGTTCCTGTCCAAGCATGTTGTCACCCATGCGTGGGGACGATGACGGTGCCTCTCCATGCAGGGGATTCAGGCCCTAGGTGCAGCTGGCACTGGACAGGAGCAGGGGAGCCCCAGCTTCTCGCCCCTGGGCAGAAGGTCCGCTGAGCTCATTCTCCATGTTCCCCCAGAGGTCCCCAGGCTGACCTCAGCTGCCACCATCTGGAAACCCCTTTCTTGGCTTCCTCCCTGTCCCTGCCCATGCCCAACCCCCCGCCACTCCTCCGGCTCTTCCCACAAGCCACTGGGGCGCCAGCCCTTGTCCCAGGCCCTCTTGACCTCAGAGGACACTCGTGTGAGGATCTGGCCTGCAAGGTCCCAGGTTCCGCCTCTTGGCCCTCCTGCCCCACAGCCCTCCCTTGTAGGCCACCCCAGGCTGCCCAGTTCCCAGCATAGCAAGCCCCCCAGACCCCCAGATTCTTGTTGCTGTGCCCCGGGGAAGAGGGCTCAAAATAGCAAGTGCGGCCCGGGCCTGGCTGGGCAGCATCTGGCTCTTCCAGGGCGGGTCCCCTGACGCCTGGCTCTGGGCTCTGTGCCCGGCCTTCCTGCTCTCCTCCAGGCTGGGGCCAGGGTTGGCGTCCCCTGGCCTGGCTGACTGTGGGCCTCGGACAGCATGTGTGGCCCCGAGCCTCTGCTTCTCCAAACGCAAAGCAGCGCAGGGCTGGTCACCGGGCTGCTCTTGTGGCCCTTTCATGGATGAAGTGGCTCCGGGGCCTGGGGAGGCTTTGAGGTTTCAAAACACCTTTCTGCTGTCCACCTGGAAACGGGCCTGAAGGAAAGGGGTGGCCAAGCAGGCAGGGCCCAGGACCCACACTGTGTGCCCACTCTCTGCACACTGGGACACTTCACGTTGTCACCCTCATTTTAAGGACACAGAGACAGAAGGGTTGGGGCTGGCAGTGGGGCACCGTCAGGAGGTGCTCGGAAGGCAGAGAGTCCAGAGAGGTCATGAAAATTCCCCCCTCTATCTTGCTCTAGGCATCTCTGCTATTTGGGTATTCCTGAGTTGTGTGCTCTAATTAATTAGTTAATTATTTTTTGCTGTGCATGGGATGGAAGCCAGGCTCTTGCAGTTGCTAGGCAAGCACTCTACCACTGACCTTCATACTAATCCTCCTCCTCCTCCTCCTCCTCCTCCTTCTTTCTTTATTTTTGAGATGGTCTTGATGAATTGCGCAGGCTGACCTCAAATTTGTGATCCTCCTGCCTTAGCATCCTGAGTAGCTGGGATTATTGTCCTGCATTCTGTGAACCATACTGGCAAATTATTTAATTTTAGAAGGGGGTTGTAGGAACCCTTGATGCAATAGCCAATTGGTCAGAAGTACAGAAGTACCAAGGATTGCTCTTCGTGTCTGAAACAGGGGAGTCTTGTGGGCCATAGCCTGTGGGTCTGCACTAACTGTAAACTGTGTGACAATCAAGTTGGTGTCCAGTGAGTTGGTTGGCATTTGGAAATCCCCAAGCACATTTGGTGTCAGAAGTGCGAGCAAAACGGGTTGTAAATCCTGAGATGACCCCCGCTCCTGCTGAGACCTCTTGAGAGCCCAGAGCCCATGGAATCCAACTAAGCCACATTCAGATTCCTGACTACGAAAAAATGGGAAGATAATAAACATGATTTGAAACCATTATTCAGCAATGAATAACTAATGCATACACCGATTTTGATGTATCTTGGAACAAATATGACTAGCAGTTCAAATCGAGTTTGTAGTGTTTATTGCTTGCAACACAACTAAGTAGAGAAAACGAGTCTGTTCAAATCAATTTGAAGAGAACTGTCAGTCAGAGGTATGAGTCGGGGTAGGGTCCTAAGAGTCAGGAGCTGGAAGGACGTGGACGGCAGTTTGGGGATGTGGGGACACCTGATGTAACAGTGATTTCAAAGGCACAGTGGGCGTGTTCAGTGCTAGGGATAATTCAGGGCTGTTCCCTGTGTCTGTATGCACCTGTCTGCAGGGTATAGCGGGTTTCTTCTTCCTGGGCCAAGTTCTGCTCTGCTGGGGGTGGGCTGCACTTGAGAACCACTAGGTGCCGCCATCTTCCTCCCTTCGGGGTGATAGTTGCATAATATTAAGAATGCATTTAATCCCATTGAACTGTGCACTTGAAATCCGACCCCAGGGGAAGAAGGGCAGCGATGTGGCAGAAGGAGAAGTCAGATTTCAAGCTCCTTGCTGCATTTGAAGCATCCCATTCGAAGAAGCATCCTTGCCTAAGGGACCTAGCTGAACTCCTATCTGGACCAAATCTTGTTCATCTTTTAGGAAAGGCTGCATGAAGGCCGAAGGTCCCTCTTCTGGTGCACTAGCCAGAACTGGTTGGGTCTAAGATGGTTTCCAGGCAATCTCTAACTTTATTTTAATCCCATCTGCATGCTTTATGAACCCCAGCCCCACTCCCAGAAGACACAAATATTTCTCTGGCCCCCGTTTTGTAGTACTGGGGATTGAATCAGGGGCACCCTGTTTCTGAGCTACATCCTCAGCCCTTTGTATTTGCAAAGACAGGGTCTTGCTAAATTGCTGAGGCTGATCTGGAATTTGTGATCTTCCTTCTCAGTCTCCTGAGTAGCTGGGTTACAGGACTTTGCCACTTTGGTGTCTGACCTCCTCCCTTTATTAGCCTGTCCTTCCTCCTCATTTCTTTTATTAGTCTCCCCACCCCACGGGTAAAGGAACAGATCTGCAAGCCTTTCTTTCTGCTTCTTCTGTTCTTTGGCAAACAAACAACAACAATAAAGCCCCCCAAACCAAACCAAAACAAAAAAACCTTCCTTCCCTGCTCCATCTGGGCTGGTCTCCTTTATTGGTTCTGTGATTCCAAGAGGAAAAGGGGCCTAACCCTGGTTTCCACTGTCATAGCAGGAAGGTTCAATACGCTCCTGCTGGCTGTGGTGATGGAGTGGGCCACAACGGGATGGCCCCCAGGAGCTGAGAACCACCAGCCGCCAACATCCAGCAAGTAGAGGTGAGCTTCAGTGCTGGCGACCAGCAAACAGATTCCGCAGCATCCTGAAGAGGCTGGGAGTCCATTTTCAGTCTACAGGTTAAGACCCCAGAGTGGCCCGGGAGGTCCGGAGACAGGAACTCAGTCCAGCCTTGGACTTTGGACTGCCAGGACTGCCAGATAAATGGGAGCTGTTTTAGTTGAGTTTGTGGTAATTTGTCACTTCAGCAGCAGAAAAACCAACATGAGATTTTTACATATTTGAAAACACTTTTTTGTATATGTCGTAAATATTTTTTCAAGTGTGTCAATTGTGTTTTTAAACTTTACCCTAGATTACATTTACCTTCTCTAATTATCCGAAGACAAACTCAAGTTCCACTTTGGGGATTGACTCTTGTGGATGTGCCATCTACCCAATATTCACACGCATCACAATCGCCCAGAATGCGTGTTAAAACGTAGTCCTGGGCCCCGTTCCCCACTCAGGAGGTCTGGGAGGGCCCAAGGAGTTGCATTATTAAAAAGTTCCCAGGGGACGCTCAATTTCTGGTCCCAACAGTACTAGGAAATGCATTCCTTCCCAGCTCCGGGAGGTAGTTGAAGCCACCAGAGGGGCGGGCCCCGTAAACTCCGCCCCCACGCTCGAGGCCTCCGTTCTCATTGGCTGCCAGTTTAGGGCTTCTCCGCGTCACAGTGCGCTCGCTCCTCCTCCCGAACGCCACGGGCCGTGCCTCGCGCCTGCGCAGTGGAGGGGGCGCTCGCGGGTCCCGCGCGTGGTGTTTGGATGGCGGAGCTCCAGGCGGAGTCCAAGCCGCTACTGGGCCGGGCCCGTAGCGGCAGCGGTGACGGCGATTGCCCTCAGGCGCTGCCCACTTGCCGCAGCGTCCAAGTTGGTCCTGGTGAGCGGCCCGGGCCTAGTGAGGGGGCCGGGCTGGCCGGGGTCCCGCGAGGGTCCCGCGGTCCCCGCACCCTCGAGTCTTCCCGGGGCCCAACTCGGCCGGGTTCGCGCGCGGCCGGGCGCAGGGGAGCAGCTGACCCCGGCGGAGTCGGGGCGCTGTGGGGTCGTGGCCAGCCCCGAGGGGCCGGGGAAGAGGACGTCGCGCAGCCCCCGCCGGGTGCGGGGCTGGCCAGACGGCGGCGTTTCCGTGGTGGCCTTAAGGCTCCTAGGAGGCAGCACTTTCATCCCCTCCTTCTCCCTGTTTCTTGTGGGGGAAACTGAGGCCCAAAGGAGGTGTCACTCAAGGTCACAAGCCAGGAGTGGCTCATGGGGATTCCAGACTCCTGGAGTGACTTTCCTGGCCTGGTCACAGCAGGTGGGCCCCAGCAGCTGGTGGGCCTGGGGCCCTTCTCCCTCCCCAGCCTCTTCCTGCCCTTCCTGTTTCTGGTCAGGGATTGCAGAATCTCTAGGAGGGTGCAAGGGTGAAGTCCACCATCCCTGGCTGACCGCAGGGGAATTAAGTGCTGGGTCAGAGGCAGAAGGAGCTGTGTCATCTTATTCAGGAAGAAACAGCCTTGGAGAGGCCCCGAGACTGCCCCACGGGTGGCTGCTGCTAGAAACACACTGGACAGTCCTGCCTTGCCACTTCCCTCTCTGGGCTTCTTCCTCCTCTGCCCTGGAGGGGACTGTGTTGGGATAGTGACCACCAGCTGTGGGGTGGTGGATCCTTGAAGGTGCCTGACATGACAGGAGATAAGGGAACTAGAGCTGAGCTGGCCACACTGTTTCTGCCCCCAGGGAGATTCCTAAATTGCTTCCTGGGACCAGACATCCTTCCTGCCAGGCTGGGACAGGATACATGAATGGTTCAGGGGACACAGGCTTTGTGTCTGGAGGGCTGGGTGCCTCTCTGGGGTTGCTACTTCTTGGCTGTGTGAGGATGGCAGTTGCTAATCCATTCTGGGTCTCAGTAAAAGGGGGCCGTGGTAGGTGCAGGGGCCTGTGTGATTCAGAGAGCATCCGGGAGGTGGTGTGGGTGCCGCTGGCCATCCAGGGCAGGAGAGCCGTGAAGCTGCAGGTCCCAGCCTGGCCGAGTGGACTTCTGGCAGGTGCGACCCTGGCTGTTGAGACAGGAGCCAGGGTGGACAGCGTTGATGAGGGGGGTCTCAGGGCTCTTGGCCTTGTCACTGTGGTGAGGGCACTGTCCCAGCACTGTGCTGGGCTCTGAGATGGCCCCTGTGTTCCATAGGGAGGGGAGCTGCTGCTATAGAGTGCCCAAGGACCTGGGGCCCCTGTGGCCAGGTCCTTCTGGCTCAGCCCACCTAGCAGGGCTCCATTGAAGGTTGGGAAGAGTGCTTTTCCCCCCGGGTCAGAATCTCCCTTCTACAGCTGGAGAAGTAGTTGGAGTGAGGGATCCCCAAGCCTGCAGACCCACGTTTAGTGGGGTGATGGGGTGTGGGCAGATGATTGCCACTGTGATGGGCAGGTGAGCTGCCCAGGGTGAGATCCCATTCCCACAAGGTGGGGCGGTGCCCCTGGCAGAGGCAGCAGCCTGGGTAAGGGCTTGGCGGGGCCACCGTCACAATGAATGGCATGGTGGGGGACAGGGTGGAGAAGCAGCACGAGCCAGTGGTGGGCAGAGGGGTCCTCCTGCAGTACCAGGTGGGACAGAGTGTGACCCTGGAGGACTCATGGGATGCTGTGTGGGCTTCCCAGGATTTGTGACAAGATCCCTTGGGACTTCAGGTGGGACTGCCTTCCTGGTACTGAGGGCTGGGTGGGCTCTGATGGCTGGACCCAGAATCTTAGGACCAACAACCAGAAACCAGGTGAAGTGAACCACAGGGACAGTGTGGTTTGGTGTCCGTCCCTCCTCTAGGGACCTGCGTGAGGGCTGGGCTCTCAGACCCTCTGCTTCCCCGGGCTGTTCATTGCCCACTGGGTAGGTCAGCTTTGGGGTCTGCTGTGTGCTGGGCACAGAGCCAGATAGCGTCTGTTTACAGCCATTCTGGGACAGCGCAGCACCTCTGTGGGAACAGTTAGGGTCCTGAGGCTGAGCCTGTGGTTGAAAGTGTGGGGACTGAGCCAGTCAGCCCCGGGGAGGTGACTTGCTGGCTGTGCTGTGAGGGGCGGGAGGTGCCCGTGAGCAGCTGGCCCAGGCTCTTCCTGAAAGCCCCCTCAGTCAGGGGCTGGCTGCGTCCATCACCTGGGCCTCCAGGAGGCCCCACCTCCTGTGCCCTGAGAACCAACTTGTGCATGGTGAAGGACACAGCTCCCTTTGCCAGGGAGGGCCTGGAAGAGGCCTGGCATTTGGGTGCTGCCTGGGCCCTTCCCTGGGGTGACTTGGGTTCCTGGTCCTGAGGGCAGGGATCAGGAGGGAGTGGGACTCTGCTTGGTGTCTGTACTCGATGCTTTCCATTTTATGTGTCAGTGTTAATTCTGTGACCTTGGTGGGGGGAGTGGGCTGGTCGTGGTAGCCCATTATATTGTTGGGGATGCTGGGGACATGCAGGAGGCTGGTGGTAGGACCCAGCGGCTAAGGAGTGACACAGCCCTGTCACGGATCATACTTGGGTGCCAGACTGGCTGGGGGCTCTTGTACTCCAAATTGTACCTCACAGCGTCCTCTCAGAACCGGGCAATGGCTGTCAGCACTCCTGCTGGGCAGAATGGAGACATCTGCAGAGCCAGTTCCCGGGTGGGAGAGGGTCTCTGGACCCCAGTCTAGCACTGGGGCTCTGCAGAGTGCTTCTGCTCTCCATAGGGCTTCGCCGGGGGCAGCTGACCTCTGCACTCTGTCCTCTGGGCAGTGGTGGTCCTGAGGGCAGAGCTGCCTCTCTCTAGGCCTGGTGCCAGGAGCTCAGGCTGCCACGCTCCCCTTCTGGTGAGGACCTGCGGAGGCCAGGTGTCAGGTGCTGAGCTCAGGGTGGAGGGATCTGTGGCTAGTGGTCTTCTTCTGTCAGACCACCATGGAGGGTGAAGCCACATGATCCTACATGGTCACTGGACGTCTCTCCTCTGCCCACAGCTGCCGTGGCCAGTTGGGACCTCTGCATCGACCAGGCTGTGGTGTTCATTGAAGATGCTATGCAGGTGAGTGTGGGCTCCCTGCTGCTGCATCTCCCTGCCCCTCCAGTCCTTGCTGTCCTGGGTCAAGGCCTCAGCTGCTGGCCTGTGAGTTAGAGTAGCATGTCAGCGGGCCCTTGGCCTGGTGGCTGTCCTGGAGTTCTTGCTGTGAAGAGGTAGGTGACTGGGTACTGCGGCCCTTGAGGTGTTGATTCACCACATGCCAGGGCCTGTCCTGGGCCTCCCTGCTCCAGGTCCTAGGTGGGGCTACATCCCAGAGGAGGACGTAGTGCTGGGGACAGCAGCAGGCCTCACACATAGAAGAGCCTCGTAGGTAGGCAGGGACATAGTTGTGCCTTCTGCAGATCTTCCCCAGTGTCCCTTAGACAGCTGGCCTTTGGGGAACTCGGTCTGCTTGGCAAATCTGGCAGCTTGAGAGGGTCTACAGCTGCAGCTGGGTCCACGCGCCGACACAGATCCTGCCTGAGAGGGACAGAATCCATCCCTACCCTTGGGCTTGTCCAGCGGGTGGCTGGGTGTACCCTGTGTTGGCTGTGCCTGTGGTAATGTGGGGACGCCGTCAGGACTTCCGCATTGCCGAAGGGCCCTGCTCACGTCCTCCCTGTGACCCTCCCCTCCCAGTACCGCTCCATCTCCCACCGCATGGACGCCCGCTCAATGTGGCTCTACCGATGCTACTACTCGAACGCGTGCCAACGGTGAGAGTGCACCTGTGGCGTGTGGGGTTCCATGTCCTGCTTGGTGGGGGTGGTGGCCTCACCCATTCTAGACTCTACCTGCCTCTGTCCAGGTGGGCACCCTCCCTGTGGGCTCAGAGGGGGCTCAGTCTCCCTGAGGCAGGAGCCCTGGTGAGGGCGGTGGGGCTCCGGGTGATGAGAGCTCCCTTCTCAGGATGTCGGCCAGCCCGGGGCAGTACTGGGCTGGGAGGTGCCAGCCCCTGCTGACCCGAGCGGCCTGCTGTTTGCCTGCCAGGCACTTCTTGGTTCTGAGGGCAGCTGCTGCTTGTGCCTTAACCATGTTCTATCTCCTTCCCAGGATCCTGAACTTCACCATTTTCTGCATCCTGGCCTTGGCCTTTATTGAGACCCCGTGTTCACTCACGAAGTCTGCCGACGTGCGCTACCGCTCCCTGCGCTGGGAGCCGCCCTGTGGCCTGACCGAGGGCATCGAGGGGCTGTGCTTGCTGGTCTTCCTGACCGACGTGTCTGTGAAGGTACGGTGGGCGGCCGGGGTGCCTCTGGGAGTACTCAGGGGCTGACCTTTGTCGGGGGACAGTGCGGCTACACAAGAGGACTGAGTGGTCTCACCTAAGGGCACCCTGTCATCCCCTAAAGAGGAGGGTGTGGGACAGAAAGGGGTCTCTTGCCCACACAGTGGCTGCTGCACATCTGACTCTCGATTCTGTCTGTGACGAGATCCCTCTGGAGGCTGCAGGTGGCCCTTGTGGCTCATGTGGGCCTGTGGCTCTGTTGGCCTAGGAGCCTCCAACTCCCCCACTGGGCACGGAAGGGCCGGCACTCTCCAGGCTGAGTGAAGCCTTCCAGAACTGTGGTCCCAGGGTCAGGCTGCACGTGGCCTCCTGGTGGTGCGGTACCTTTG